CATCTGCCATGTGTTGCATTACTTGGGCTAGATCCCGCATGGCGTGGGGGTTCCTCCTCAGTGCTTCGGGGATGAAGAAGTCCCCATTAAAATGTTGGTAAGACCCTCGGCTGGATTGCCCTTGGGGGTCCAGTTCCCCGGAGTCCTGCTCCCTCCGCGTCGCTCCGAACTTTCATTGGTATGATGAGAGGTGATTCTAACCATCCTGATAGTAGGTTGATGTTTGGGTAAAATAGTTGGTTTGAAAACTTTTCGTTCAAGTTTCCCACAGACGGCGCCAATGTTGAAGTTAAGTCCCGCAGATCTGAAAGCCCAACACACGCTTTGGATATTAAGGATATGGAAAATAAGTCGAGGGTCTAAGAAAATATAAAAGCTGAATGATAATAAGCTCAAAAGCCCACTTGTATTGAGCAATTTGCTGATTACACATGAAACTTCCCGAACGGCACGTCGCAATAGTGATAATACAATAACAAGAATGATAAAGCTATTCTAGGCCTTGAGTCTCAAAATGCTAACCCTTTATGATGAGATTAGAGCCCCTATTTATACTAATAAAAGGGGATGGGGGTGATGACGTGGCTGAATCTGATTTGTTGCCGTTCTCGAGCCACTTGGATGCCCATACTCCCACTTGTTGACGCCATACCCTAGCATTAAATGTCCCTTGCCACTTGCAGGCTACCCGTTCGGGCTTCAGAACGATGCCCATGCTGCTATCATTATTAATTTGGCCCAAGTTACCTGCATGACCCGATCCTCGTTCGGGGTATAGTCTCTCATGGTTCCCTGGTTCCGTTCGGTATAACTAGTTACTGGGCCTATTCTTCTTTGGATCCTTGCTGACTAATGGGCCTGTTATATTGGGCTTGCTGCCCAATATCCCAACAGTAGCCTTAGGCTATTCATTCACTTGTATTTTCCTTTACTATCATTTAATAAATAAATTAGTTAGTTGTTTTTTTAAAAAATGGGAGAGGAATATAAGTTATCTTTTTATCTTTGTGCTACATTAGTACGTACACTTAGCCAATTAGGATGTTTTCACTTGGAAAAGTTTCAATTCAGACCAAAATAGACTTCGATAATTGTAATATACACATGCATAGAGCATACCTCTATCGGACTAAGCTATATCTGTTTATACTAGACCAGACTTAAACTGATCAAACCGGACCATATCAGACCAACAACAACAACAACATCCAAGCCTTAATCCCAAAAGAATTTGGGGTCGGCTAACATGAATCGATCTATGATATCGATGCCAAAAAGAGAAGGCGGACAAGAAAAGAAAAAAAAGTAAGATAAAATGAATAAAATAAAGATACATAAATATAAGATAATAATAACACAAGAATATAACCAAGATAAAAGAAAAATAAATAAAAGAACATAAAAAAGCTAGAAGATAAAAATAACATAAGAATATAAAAAGATAAGGAAGATAAACGATAAAAGAAACAAGAGAGGAAAGGTAGACATACATCAATCGTCCACATGGATGTGCGCCCTCCACTTTGCTCTCTCCAAAGCCATACTCTCATCCAACCCAAGAAGACGCATATCAGTTCTTATTACTCTAATCCAAGTCTGTTTAGGTCTTCCCCTCTCTCTCTTCTCTGACTCTTCTCCCCACCCATCAAGTCGTCTAACAGGTGCATCACTCGGTCTTCTATGCACATGCCCAAACCACCGCAAACGAGACTCCTGCATCTTATCTTCTATAGGTGCTACTCTCACCTTTTGTCTGATTACCTCATTCCTCATACGGTCTTTTCTGATATGTCCACACATCCAACGCAACATACACATCTCTGTCACACTCATCTTTTGAATGTGACATTGCTTCACCGCCCAACACTCTACGCCATACATTAATGCCGGCCTAATTGCTGTACGATAAAATTTACCTTTCAATTTAGTCGGCATACCTCGATCGCATAGAAATCCTGAAGCACTTTTCCATTTCATCCACCCAGCTCTGATTCTATGACATACATGTCCATCTAATTCACCATCCTTCTGAATTATGCATCCCAAGTAACGGAACATATCACACACCGGTATCTCCTTACCATCAAGAGTAATCCCATTGTTGCTACCGCTTCTACCTCCACCGAACTTGCACTCCATATACTCAGTCTTGCTTTGGCTCAGTTTGAAACCCTTGCTCTCCAATCTTTGTCGCCATACTTCCAACTTTGCTTTAACACCGGATTGTGTTTCATCAATCAATACAATATCGTCGACAAACATCATGCACCACGGTATATCTTCTTGAATTGACTTCGTAAGTTCATCCATGACTAAAGCAAATAAGAAAGGACTCAGAGCAGATCCTTGGTGCACTCCAATAGTAATAGGGAACTCTGCGGTCCTCCCTACACTAGTGCGGACACTTGTAGTACAAGCATCATACATATCCATGATGATGCTGATATACTTACATGATATGCCTTTTCTAGTTAAGGCCCACCAAAGAACTTCTCGAGGTACCCTATCATATGCCTTTTCTAAGTCAATGAACACCAAATGCAGATCCTTTTTAGTGTCTCTATACTTCTCAACAACTTGTCTAAGAAGGTGAATGGCCTCAGTTGTTGAGCGTCCAGGCATAAAACCAAATTGATTCTCCGAAATTTTCACACTTTTACGTAGTCTTTGCTCAACCACTCGCTCCCAAAGTTTCATGGTGTGACTCATAAGCTTAATCCCTCGATAGTTAGCACATTCTTGCACATCACCCTTATTTTTAAATAAGGGAATGAGAGTACTCTTCCGCCAACTCACTGGCATTTTGTTTTTTCTCCAAATCATGTTGAAGAAACGTGTTAGCCACTCGATGCCTTTCTCTCCCAAACTTCTCCAAGCCTCGATCGGTATGCCATCTGGGCCCACTGCTCTCTTCTGGCCCATTTTTCTCATAACCTCTTTAACTTCTGTTGTTTGAATCCTTCTCACGAAGTCCCTATTTACCATACACTCTGGTATAGTAAGATCATCAATACCTTGGACTTTATTCCCGTTGAACAAGGTATCAAAGTATGACCTCCACCTCTCTTTTATTTCTTCATCATCCATTAGTACCCTTTGATCGACATCCTTCACACACTTAACTTTTCCGATATCTTGAGTCCTACGGTCACGAAGGCGAGCAAGTTTGTAGATATCTTTTTCTCCTTCCTTAGAATCCAACTTTACATACAACTCCTTATTCACTTTTCCTTTGGCTTCCTTCACAGCTTTCTTTGCTCTTCTTCTAGCCTCTTTGTACTCCTCTATGTTCTCGTCGCTCCAACTTTTGCCCAATTTCTTATAGCATTCTCTTTTGGCCCTTATTGCTTGTTTCACCTCATCATTCCACCAAGATGTGTCCTTTTTTGGTGGCAGACATCCTTTAGATTCTCCTAGTATCTCCTTCGCCACTTTGTTAACGGTGGACTCCATTGGTAACCACACATCATCCACGTGTGCGTCATTATCAATAGACCAAACATCTTCCTCCAACATTTTGTGTGCAAAACTTTGTTGGAGATTCCCCTCGAGCCTCCACCATTTTATCTTTGGCTCCCCTTGTACCTTAACTTGTCCACTCTTTTTACCTCGAAAATCAAGCACAAGCATCCTATGCTGAGTGACAGCACTCTCACCTGGGATAACCTTACAATCAGTGTAGCTAGTTCTCCAAGTCGTCCGTACTAAAAAGTAGTCAATTTGGGTACTATTAGCTCCATTTCTATAGGTGACAAGGTGAGAGTCTCTTTTCTTGAACCAAGTGTTCATCACAGCCAACTCATATGTCGAGGCAAAATCCAGAATGTTCTTCCCCGCTTCATTTCTAGTGCCAAAACCATGTCCGCCATGAACACTCTCAAAACCATCACGACTTGGGCCCACATGCCCGTTGAGGTCGCCTCCTATGACCAGTTTCTCTCCCCTTGGACCATATCAGACCAAACTAAAAAAAATTAAGTATAATTAAAAACACTGTAATATTACAACAAAGTGTTGATTAGTCGGTCTAAACTCTATCTATAACGATTCATAAAAATCATCTTCAAAAGTTCATCTTATTTTTTCTTTATACTCCTTTTTAATGGTGACATCGTTATACTCCATATATAAGTAAAAAAAACTTAATTACTTGTAGAAGTTATATTAAAAAAAGTAATCTTACTTAATCAAGCTAGATGTTCTTGGTTGGATTGCATTCCAGACTTGCATGGACGTACTAAATCAATGAGGTTAGTCAAAAATATTAAGTCCAACTAAAAATACCGTCATAAGGCGAAATGATTAGGGAGTACTAAATATAATGGGGAGTGTTTGGTTATGAGTCTATCAGCCATTTTTTGGCTGATTTGATTATAATTGGCTTTTTGACCAAATCAATCAGTCAAATAAAGTGTTTGGTTAAATAATCTTTTCTCCAAAAGAGCCAAAATCCTAAAAGCTAATAAACATAGCGTTTACTATTGGCTTTTGCATGTCTTCCCTATACTACCCACGTTCTTTCCTTATCTCCCTCCTACCGAAAATTGTCCGAGTCAAGAAAAAAATCTTTTGCCACAGAGCAAAGAAACAATGTAACTCTGGGAGCACTTTCTTATCTTTTAATTTAAACTTAAGATGAATAGCTTGACCATTTTCCTGAGGGGTAACATATATATATATCAATTTGATGTTAATCCATAATAAATTCTGAATTGTGAATCATTTTCATTCAGCAAAAAAAGAAAAGAAAGTATATTGAAAATAAAAAGCCCAAAAGTAATCAAGGCTGATATAATTTTTAGAATGTGCATGCGCGGAGTAAGAGCGCTGCGCTGCGCTGCGCTGCTAGTTAGGGTTTTCCACGGATCGCCTGGCCAGGAGTGTGTCTCTACTCTATATGGCCGCCCAATCTTTTCTACCCACCTTACCTTTCCATCTCCAACTAATTATTAATTATATATTCACCAATTAAATACTTACCTTTTACATTTTTCGCATCCATCAGATCATCATATCATACCTATAAATTCCGGCCACTAATACTATCCTAATCCCACTATAACTTCGATCAATCCCCCATGCCGTAAAGAAAAAAAAAAGAAATAAAGAGAGATCACTCAGATCAGAGAGGAGTAACACATATATTAAGTAACCCATCATCGACCCCAACCCATCCAAAATCCCTAGCTGAGGAGACGTACTTAGTTATATATTCTTGATATATATAGACCATCATTATTATTTTTAATTTAATTAATATACGAGTTGCTGATCGGGCGAGCTGAGTACTATATATATATTATTATTAGAATCAATCGATCACATGGCCGGATGTTGATGATTAAGAGTCCGCCGGTTTAATTAGACCATAAATATCCATCTTTGGTTGTTAATATTAATTATAATAATTGTTATATATGTACGTATAGGAGGATACACACTATGCTATATATACTATAAGAGATCGATCTATATATCGTATATATAGTTATTACGTACGTAACGTACTAGCTCCATCATATCCAGGCAGTAATTTATTAGTTTGCAGCTAGAGACCGACGACGACGTACGTATATAGCCGCAGGTTAGGTTTCATCTTAGAAAAGCACTAGCTACATACGTACGGATGGCGGCGGCGGCGGCGGACCGGATTACGTTGGAAGATATCAAGAACGAGAATGTCGATCTTGTATGTCGCCACCTAACCCTCTCTTCTTCATATCATATCATCTTTTGTTTATTTTAATTTGTTCATATATATATGTTGATTCATTTAACTCATATATGCATCATACTCTAATTTCATTCTTTTGTCAGATCCGCACCTCTTCAATGTATATATTTCCATTCTTCTATACCATACTCTAATTTCGTAATCCATGCCATGTCTAATAATTGCATGATTATATATATATAGACACATTCTTGTATTTGGAATAGAGTTCACGTGGATATATATTAAAATACTTAGGGTACGCTTCTAATGATCAGAATCTTGCTTATGGTGAAAATGTGAGAAGGAGCACTTTTAGTCCAATTGGATGCACTATGTGACTCATTTATTGCACATTTTAGACTTTGTTCATAATATGACAACATCAGATAAATATTTCGTCAACACGAAAAAGTGTAAGGTACAAACGTTATAGTTAAACCTGATGTTCTCACTCTTCTCACGATAACCATGTTTCTCATTAGAAACACAACTATATATATATAATAATTTGTAATCAGCTAGGGTTATAAAACTTGAAAAGCTTTATATTAGTGAACTTAATTATTTATTCTTTGTAATTGGCCATTGTCCAAGGGCGTTTAAATAAACACTCAATATTTAAAACGAGTGTAAAAATATACTCCGTATGTAGTGTAGAAGTGGTGTAATTATATATTTTAGGGAAAAGGGGCAAATAAGGCCACGTACTAACACAAAAAGTTCAAATAAGACCTTATTTATGAGGCTCTGTCCGGCCTTCGCCATTTGGGTTGGTTCTCGCTGGAATTTTTTGATGAAATTTTTTGAACATCTTATTCAGTAAGTCTAGTTTACTCATACCAAATTTAAGCTAAAACTTCAATCGGGAAGACATTCAAATGAATTCTTGAACATAATTGCGCAGTTAAAAGCGCAGTTATCTTCAAGAATTCATTTGAATGCCTTCTCGATTAAATTTTTATCTGAAATTCGGTATGAGTAAACTAGACTTAATGAATAAGATGGTCAAAAAATATTTATTAAAAAATTTCACCGAAAACCAACCCAAATGGCGATGGCCGGACAGAGCCTCATAAATAAGGCCTTATTTGATCTTTTTTGGTTAGTACGTGGTCTTATTTGCCCCTTTTCCCTATATTTTACTTTATTCATATACTGTTTCTCACTTATAGTAGAAGCTTTATATATATACAAAATTTTTGTTGTTTAAAAAATGTGTAGACAATTTGTATCGAACAATAACATTTTTAAAAAATAATTGATGATAAAATTATTTGGAACATCCAAAACTTATGCACTGGATCCGCATCAGCGAAAAGGCTTTAGAATTTGAATTTGGGATATATTTATAGATCGGAAAGAAATTGTGAATTTGGGTAGACTTGTGCCCAATGTAGCTTCGCTAATGTTAGTAAAGTTTAAGAACCGAGTAAAATGATTAGATTCTTAACTGCTACATTCAATTAATATAACGAGATTTAACTCATCTTTACATCTTTTTTTTTTTTGAGGGAACTCACCTCTACATCTTAGCATTGTCTTGATATATATGAAACACTCTGAGACAACATTATATTCTCCTAACAACATAGGGTGTACTTTGATCCAAAGCTTTGCAGAAACACAATGTAAATTTTAGAAGGATGCTTTAAAGTGTAGCATAACCAAATGTGCACAGTACTTGTACATTGGAATTACATTACATATTTACATTGTTCTACGTCATAGGAACATATAATGAAAGAAATCAAATGACGTTTCCCGTATTATATATTGATTGCATTATTGTGTCGCTCTACTGAGTTTGGATGCAAAAAAAAAAAACAAAAAAAAACCAGGAACGTATACCAGTGGAGGAGGTATATCAGCATCTGCGTTGTACCAAAGACGGGTTATCAACAGAGGAAGCTGAACATAGGCTTCAAGTCTTCGGGCCAAACAAGCTTGAAGAGAAAGAGGCATGCAACTATATATGATCTATACACACACATTCCCCATTTTTCTTCATATTGTCTAGTTTAATGGGGTGCTAAGTTTCAATCGGCATTCTTACAAATGACAAACAGGAAAGCAAGCTGCTGAAGTTTTTGGGGTTCATGTGGAACCCGCTGTCGTGGGTGATGGAAATGGCTGCTCTCATTGCGATTGGCCTGGCGAATGGAGGGGTATACTACTTGTTTAGTACTGTATTTATTATTCAAATGAGAACTTGAATAATTTGTTGATCTGCCCTCTTTAGAATTGCTTCTTATTAAGTATGATGAATGGGTTGTATGTTTTCAGGGGAAGCCACCAGATTGGCAAGACTTCATAGGAATAGTGGTTTTACTGATCATCAACTCCACTGTCAGCTTCATCGAAGAAAACAATGCTGGCAATGCTGCTGCTGCTCTCATGGCTGGTCTTGCCCCCAAAACCAAGGTATATATCTAACTCATCATCACATTCATAAAAAAATTATCAAAAATAACCAATTCCCTAGCTATTGGATAAAAATGTGGAGCAAGTATTTAACTTTAGAGAAAATATAGTATTACCCATTGTCAAGTGACAATGACTTACTATTAGTGCAGTTACCAACATGCAAATTTAAGAAAATAAAATGGATTTGTACAATTTTTTCATGACTCAGTCAGGGTTACCATTTTCATGGATTTCTGATGATGATGGGGTTTTTTGGCATGCGTGAAGGTATTGAGAGATGGGAAGTGGTGTGAACAAGATGCAGCCATTCTGGTTCCAGGAGACGTGATAAGCATCAAGTTGGGAGATATTGTCCCGGCGGATGCCCGTCTTCTTGAAGGGGACCCTCTCAAGATTGACCAATCCGCGCTCACCGGTGAATCCCTGCCCGTCACCAGAAACCCAGGAGATGAGGTCTTTTCCGGCTCCACCTGTAAACAGGGCGAGATCGAGGCGGTGGTTATTGCCACCGGCCTCCACACCTTCTTCGGCAAAGCCGCTCATCTCGTCGACAGTACCAACCAAGTTGGTCACTTCCAGAAGGTCCTGACCTCCATTGGTAACTTCTGCATCTGCACCATCGCTTTGGGGATCGTCGTCGAGATCGTGGTGATGTTCCCCATCCAGCACCGGAGGTACAGGGACGGAATCGACAATCTGCTGGTTCTCCTCATCGGAGGTATCCCAATAGCCATGCCGACCGTTCTGTCAGTGACCATGGCAATTGGGTCCCACCGCCTCTCCCAGCAAGGCGCCATCACCAAGCGGATGACCGCAATCGAAGAAATGGCGGGAATGGATGTTCTCTGCAGTGACAAAACCGGAACCCTGACCCTCAACAAACTCACGGTTGATAAAAATCTAGTGGAGGTTTTTGCCAAGGATATGGACAAAGAAACCTTGGTGCTTCAGGCGGCCAGGGCTTCAAGGGTGGAGAATCAGGACGCCATTGATGCTTGCATCGTTGGCATGCTAGCTGATCCTAAGGAGGCTAGGGCTGGGATTGAGGAGGTTCATTTCCTTCCTTTTAATCCCGTGGAGAAGCGCACAGCAATCACTTTCGTAGACTCCAAAGGGAATTGGCAAAGGGTCAGTAAAGGTGCACCGGAGCAGGTAAATAATAAATATATTGACCTTTGCCAATCTTAAATAAACAAATAACAAGTTCATCTCTCTATTGTGTTTGAAATCTGCTTAAATGCTCAATTATCTACCAGATTGTGGAACTTTGTGAGCTGAAAGGTGATGTAAAGAACAAAGCTCATAGCATTATTGACAAGTTTGCTGAACGTGGTCTTCGCTCTCTTGCTGTCTGTCAACAGGTAGGTAATTCTAAAACTTTTTTTTTTTTCATTTTGGCTCTGAGGGTCCATTTGGAACTTAGAAAATAGATAGAAAATTTGTAAGGGAACATAACTTTGGAAAAAAGGTGGTTTAAACTTAATAAATCAGTTCTGGCTATTTGTTCAAATTCAATCTTTATACATATTTTATTTGTTATAAACATACTAAGAAGTGCAACTACATACTATATATAAAATTTGAAGAAGCTTTACACACATTCGATTTTCAGAGGAAAACCAAAAGTATTTACGGAGTATAAAAGAACTGTTTTCCTTGACCATTTGTTTCCCTTCCCTTACATTCCCATGATTTTTTGCATTCCAAACATAGCCTTGGGATTTCTTATGTGTAATGATACTGAATATCTTGGAGGCTGATCTTTCTTTGTGTGTGACTACAGACGGTACCAGAAAAGACTAAGGAAGGAAAAGGAGGACCCTGGATCTTTGTTGGTCTATTACCTCTATTTGATCCGCCAAGACATGACAGCGGAGAGACAATCAAACGCGCCCTAGACCTCGGTGTGAACGTTAAGATGATTACAGGTGATCAGCTAGCTATTGCTAAGGAGACTGGTCGACGACTAGGCATGGGGACCAACATGTACCCTTCTTCCTCTCTTCTTGGGCAACACAAGGATGCCAGCATAGCCACCCTCCCCGTTGAAGAGCTCATTGAGAAGGCTGATGGCTTTGCTGGAGTTTTTCCAGGTAAAATTCACTTAAGCTCTGTTTGGTAGCTGTTTTTGGCTTATTCTGCTTCAGTAATCAGAGAAGAAGAATAAGAAATGATAAAGAACTCATTAGGTAACACTGTAACAGTGGATTTGGTCAAATTTTGTTAGATATTGATGAAGTTGCTGACTTATGAAAAAAGTATTTAAAGCATATTTTGTGGGGTTTTCCTCTAATATTACCATAAAAGAACTCATGGACAAAAAGATAATGCATTCTCACTAGTCACACAAAAAATATTATCATGGTCACAGGAGTGTAAGATTGAATATCGGGTGGTTAAAAGTCAAACTTTTGTCCATTACTTTCATTTTAGTCATGTATTTGTCGTAATTTTATTTTTATCCATTACTCGGAGACAAAAATATGACTATGTGGTCACTGCCATGTACTATTGAACATTAGTACCGCACTCACTAAGGTCATTCTGTATTAAAAGTACCATGTATTATTTTTTCCCACATTTGTATCACAATCATGTTTCCATCCTTTGCAATGGAGCCAAAGATTCATTATTTTTTGGCTTGAGATTATGATGGAATAAAGCAAAATGGCTCACTAAACTGTTTGCGCTTCTTTGTCATGAAGAAGCAGTCAGTCCATGCAATTTTGGACGGGATTTTCACTATGGGTCATCCGGAAACAGTCTCAAGTACAGGGGTAAGACTGCGTACATCCGACCCCCCCTTACCCCACCGTAGGTGGGAGCCTTTGCGGCACTGGGGTAAATGAAAATGAAAATGAAAATGATTTGTATCACAATCATATGTTTTTCATTTTTTTTATACTTTACTAATAAACAAATGACTTGAGCTGAATGTTGTACTTATGTAGAGCACAAATATGAGATTGTGAAAAAGCTACAAGAGAGAAAGCACATATGTGGGATGACAGGAGATGGTGTGAACGATGCTCCAGCTTTGAAGAAAGCAGATATAGGCATTGCAGTGGCAGATGCAACAGATGCCGCACGGAGTGCCTCTGACATTGTCCTCACAGAGCCTGGCCTAAGTGTCATTATTAGTGCAGTCTTAACTAGTAGGGCAATTTTCCAGAGGATGAAAAATTACACGATTTATGCAGTTTCCATAACTGTCCGTATCGTCCTGGGTTTCATGCTCATTGCCCTCATATGGGAATTTGACTTCTCTCCTTTTATGGTCCTCATCATTGCCATTCTCAATGATGGAACCATCATGACGATCTCAAAAGACAAAGTGAAGCCGTCCCCAATGCCTGACTCTTGGAAACTTAGAGAGATTTTCACCACTGGTATCGTTCTTGGCACATACTTGGCAGTCATGACAGTAATCTTCTTCTGGGCTGCTCACCAGTCAGATTTCTTCACAGTAAGAAACCAATCATTCAATTACCTTTATTACATTCTGCTCTTTTGTTCTACTCCGTATATTATTTGTTTAGGTGTCATCTCAAGTCTCACATAAAAAACCTAGGGAAATGTAATCTGTATCGGATTTGTTTGGTTCAAAGATTCCACAGGGAAGGGAGGAGATGATTGATTTTTTCATTTGCTAACTTATCTCTGTTTGTTTGTTATATACGTATTAAAATTCATTATATGATACAGACAATGTATTTCTATATGATTTTATAACACAGCATCAAAAGTAAATAAATGCCACCCCTTCTGCTCCCTCGTCTCCGAAATTTCCCAACCAAGTTACCAAACTAGCTCTTAGGGTGATATTCAAAAATAAATTCATGACAGGTTTTCCCCAAAACGAACCATATCATACTCATGCCAGAGTTAAGTTACTATTGCATTCTTAATGCTAAGACGTGTGTGCTACATGTTGCAGGAGAACTTTCATGTAAGATCGATCAGGGATAGTTACCCTGAGCTAAATTCAGCTCTATATCTTCAAGTGAGCATTGTGAGCCAAGCACTTATCTTTGTCACTCGGTCAAGAAGTTGGTCTTATGTAGAACGCCCCGGTCTATTGCTAGTGGCTGCTTTTCTAGTAGCACAACTGGTAAGTTAAAGTTGTGTTTTTTCTCTTTCTTTCAATGTTTTGCTCCTCCAATTCTAATAAACCAACTCTATGTTTGTGCTTTATGTTTACCAAGATTGCTACTTTGATTGCCGTATATGCAAACTGGGGATTTGCTAATATCCATGGCATTGGCTGGGGGTGGGCTGGTGTGATCTGGATCTACAGCATTATTTTCTACATCCCGCTAGATATATTGAAGTTCATCATTAGATATGGACAGACAGGCAAGGCTTGGGACAATTTGCTCAACAGAAAGGTAATTCAACAAAATCTAGGATCAGTGTACTGCATAAGAAAGCATTTGTGGTTACTTGTTTCCAAGGAATAATTGTTTTTACTTATTAAGACGTGTTTGGTAGGAAAATGGGAAAATATGTTTTTAATAGTTAAAAGCACTTTTAGTGCTTAGAAATCGGCAGTTGGGTGCTTTAAAAAAACAGGAATGCATAAGTGAGAAAGAACTTGTGATAACAAGGCTTATTTTATAAGTAATCCCAAAACGGCTCTAAGGTGTTCTTCACCCGTTCTATGTATGTTTATGTGTCCTGATTTTTTGGGTTAAACATTACAGACTGCTTTCACAAATAAGAAGGATTATGGGAGAGGAGAAAGGGAAGCGCAGTGGGCCATGGACCAGCGCACATTGCATGGACTTCAGTCATCAGATGCTTCTCAGATTTACAGTGACAAAAACCATACAGAACTGTCTGGGATTGCAGAACAAGCCAAAAGACGTGCTGAAGTTGCAAGGTAAAAATGTCTATAAAGAAAAAATCATCATATTAACTTTTAGCAAGAGTAATTGGTTTTTTAGCATGCAGACTGGTAAGAATGATTTTACGGTTATTAGTAAGAATAATTTTACGGTTACTGGAACAGGTTGAGAGAGCTTCATACATTGAAGGGGCATGTTGAATCGGTGGTGAAGCTCAAGGGTCTTGACATTGAAACAATCCAGCAACACTACACTGTTTGAGGATGGATGGAGATTCGAGGATATCAAGTGGGAAGCCCATTTTTTCCATCCACTATTTTTGACACATTCTTTATCCACAGCTGATAATGACGAAGGGGGTTGACAATAAAATCCAACAGAGAATGTTGGCACTGGGTTTTTTAATAGAATTTAGAGAGTAGGTTGTAGAAGATTCATTAAAAAACTCATGTCTAGGATTCTGTCAAACAATAATCTTTTATTCCCTGCTAATAAATGGATTCCCTTGATCAAATGTCTCTGCAATATTGGTATTCTTTAGTAGGTGTCTTTTAACCAACAGAAAAAAAAGTTAAATATCATGTGTAATGTAAAATTCGAAGCCCACAAACTCTTAGAAGCTACGACTTATGAATGATCACATATACCCTTATATAACCTAATATCATGATGGTTTGGAGTGATACTATAACCGTTTGCAGCACTTATATACCCCGATACTATACTATCGTCAAGGGTTGGGGACTTGGGGGTACTGTAATGAAACTGTTGGCAGATTCACTTGACATTAATTTTTACGTGAAATTAAAGCTCACTTTAAAAACTAGACTAGTTTCTTTTTTGAGAATTTATCACAGCTAATACTAAAATCGGACTATATTGATAGTCCTACTTAAAGAAATGTGTTATGCTTTAATCTTATTTATGAAAAATTTCCTTTTTGTGACAACTGTTTTTAAACCCAGCTCTCTTTTTGAGGTGTATGGAGTATAGTAGAATCCGTGTCCAAGTTCTTGGAAGTCTTTTGATGATTTTCTTTCTTTACTTGCATCCTCACTACTGCCTATGATTATCATCTCTGGGAGCAAGTATGTAAAGAAACAAACAAGAAGTAACCATATTCATTGTTTTCATCATTTCTAATGTAATCTGTACAAATGTAGATAGCAACCAGTCAATAAAAAAGATGATAGAAAAGCCTCTAGCCTTGTGAACAAGTGAACACTTTCTCAAAGTTTACTAGTTACGGGAAAACCATCTATACCATTGCCACATTTTCACTACTCTAAATAAACAGGAAAAACGACTGGCATTTTTAGCATAAGAGACTGAGGGAAGGCAGGAGTAGCTATAAGTTGGTGGTGGGTAGAGCACAGTCTACTACCCTAAGCGACCCACCTAGTTCATTTGGTACAAGGGGGATGAAAGAGTGTAGTACATCTGTTATTAGCGGTCTATAGCTTGGTTCTGGTTGCACACATAACACCGCCACAGCAGCAACCTATGCCAAAAGGATCCCATTTAATAATCCAAATTATTACATACAACAGAAAACGTGATAATAAAAATAATGAAAATTAATTTAATGAATGGATTCTTGGTTAACGAATGTTGGTAAGAAACCTGATACAAGTGCTTCACGTCCATTGTGTTCTTGATTACAGGATCAACAATAGTCGGAAGCTTTGATCGGTCAGTAAGCTGGGGCATTGCCTGCATATGATGCACAATTAAAGGGAAATGAATCTTAAAGCCCTTTTGCTAGAATATGCTGTTCTTGACCTGATTTCCCTTACCCATGTAACTAATGATTGACACTTAGTTTCTCCCACTTTCTCTATGGGCATTTTCCCCAACAAAAGCTCTAGAAGAATAATGCCAAAAGCATACACATCTGTTTTATCACTTATCTTACCTGCGAGTAAAGAACTCCTGTAAGTTTTCATGGTAAGCACAAGAAGAGAATGAAGTCTATCATCTTTTATTAGCATATGCGCCATTTTGGAAGGATAAAAGAACAAACCGATTTTATAAATATCAATATTTTTACAACATAAATAATCAAGTCAGCCAATCTTCCTTTTTACTCTGCCCAAAAATAATGTAAACTTTCTCATTTTAACACCATGAAACTTTTTTTCAAAATTTCCCTTTATACCATTAACAAGTTCTACGGGTTTCACATTAGAGAAGTGAACATGGAAAGTAAAACACGTTTTATTTGTTTTCTAACAAATTTGCACGAAAAACATGCAATTCCTAAATTGTGAGATGGAGGAACTACTGAGGAGGTGATTAGAAGAACAATTAGTTTTAGATCTTATACGGTATTGGGAAAAAGGATGAAAAGCGGCATAAGCCAATTTTTGGAAAAGATGTTTCATGATTTCATTAAACTAAATATTAAGGGATGGCACATCTACTTACCGTCTAAAAGATATTCTGGTGCAACATAACCCTGTGATCCTGAAATCTTGGCAATGCTCTTGTTTATGTTTCCACCACTTGCACACAGGCCGAAATCAGAAATCTAGATTATGAAAGAGAAAAAGTAAGTGGTCTTCCATACACAAATACTTTAGTTTACATTGAAAAAAGGACATCAGATCATTTCCCTCTTCGGCTGCATATACCTTAGCATTGAAGTTGTTATCAAGAAGTATCTTGGACGATTTGAGATTCCTATGGATAACACTTGGGAGGCAATGCTCGTGAAGGTATTCCAATCCTCTGCTCAACCATCAATCAATGTTATTACAATCTTTAGATCGAAAAGAAGGCACAATGATACAAAGATAAGTAGAAGAATATATAATTAATTCTACCTTGCAACGTCTAAAGCAATTTTCATCCGGAGAGGCCAACTTAAAGCTGACCCATGAGGCGGTCCTAAAGTTAGTAGAGAAAATAAAGTTAGAGATATGTTAACATAATCCGTTACACCTACCCCCTAAATCTTTCGAATTGAAAATAAAGAAGAAGTATGTATACCATGCAATTGAAATTCCAAAGAACTGTTGTGCATCATTTCATACACCAAGAGACACATATCACCATCAACAGAGTACCCTAAGAGAGAAACTATGTTTTGATGCTGAACCTTACTCAACAAATCTAGCTCATTCTGCAATTTAGAATGGTTCTTAGCTATATACATAGTATATTAGAGAGTGAGAAAATATATACTCCTAAAGATTACAAAAATAGAACTTATGAACAAGAATATGAGTACATGGTCACACCAATCATTCCCAAAAGTCATGGTAACTACAGAGTAAAATTGTACATAACCATATTTCCATCGTCTCTAGAGTACTAGAGTAACTATATGGTTACTGTGTACTAAAAGTCACATTTTGCCCAATTTTTTTATATTAGTCATAAATTTGTCATTATTTTCAGCTACTTGTACCTCAAATTCTTTCTTAATAGCATCTTGTTCACCACCAGAAGAAAGTCTCTTAACAGCTGCCTCAAAGTCATTGCCAAATCTTGCTTTATACACGCGCCCTAATCTCCCTTCACCCAAAACATTTGCCTCCGCGAAGTTGTTCGTAGCAGCTAGTAACATAGGGTATTCAATTAGATCAACTAAGCCCTTCCTACCGCCATTGACTTTAAAAGGTATCATTTTTTTGTCGTTTACTTGTAAACCTACAAATAAACATTTTTTTTACATATCAGTAATAGTGTATTAATGAAATTTCTTCTTCTCTTCTTGAAATATGACTAGACAGATAAAGAACCTGCATTATACTTCCATCTTTCATTGAATTTCTTCAATTTAGTCAGCCTGTTAACCCAAAAACCAGATAATAACAGCACAATTCCACCAAGAATGGATGAGGATACAATGAGAGCAATTAGAACTTTCTTCTTTAAGGTTTGGTGCTGGATTGCTCTGACATCTGCTGCCCCTATCGTCAAGAAGATGAAAAGGTCAGTTTTGACAGCCAAAATTTTGCTGGAAAATAAAATGAATAGATGACTGAGAATACTGTAATCTTTGTATAGCCCCTAAAAAAAAAGACCCATCAAGATAAGGTAAGTGTATGGCATTTGCCCAAAAAAAAGAAAGGGATACGGGATACTAATAAAATCAAGAAAAGGAAACACACACTATATGAGTCTGCACTAAAAAACCAACTCAGAAGTCATGAAGACCCATCAATGTTCATCTGCAGAATAACAATATCTAATAGAGTGGTGTACTAAGAAGAAATGATTCAAAACAAATCTGAAAACAAAGAGTGAAAGAGAGGTCCACAACCCATCATCCATTGTACACCAAACATTACCAAGTTACCTGGAGAAAGGGCAGTTGAGTTTGACGAAAGCTGAAAGATGGGTTCTTTCTCACTTGGAAGAACTGGGTGAGAAACAGGTGATCCTACTTTTACAGGAAGTGAAGAAGACAATGTGGAACTAAAAATCTCAATCATTATTACAACAAATAAGATCAGCAGCTTCAACATCTTTTTTAAGTTTCAACAAAAGACAGAAATGGAATGGGGAAGGCTCCTGGTTTGGAGCTTGTGATGATTGATCTGGAACTGAAATGATTTGAGGGTGCTTGGCTATTGGGTTCTTTTGAAAATAATTTAATGTTGATGAAACATTAGTATGGCCATTTAGATATGTGTGTCTGAGTGAGTGCCTCTCTGTCTCTCTGCATCTCGGTTTTCAGTTTTGTTTTGGGAAAAAGAAAAAGGTACTCCGCGTATTTGTTATTTTCTTGACGTTTTATTTTAGAAAAAAGACAGGAGTGATAGAGGACGAGAGGATCTCCGTGTTTTAAAATTTTATTACCGTAAAACTGTAAAAAGTTTTCCCTTTTGACCAACATTTTACATTCGTACCATTCCCGAATCAAAATGTGAGAACCGTGGAAAGTAGCTCGGGTAGCAAGGTAGTGTCATAAGAGTTAGGTCTTGGGTTCGAATCCCGACAAATGCGATTAGAGGTTACTATGTTAAAAATGCATAGACCTTCTACAAGTATCGGGACAGAGCTCCACTATCTATCTGTCAGATTGAAATTATAGTTCAATTTACATACTCCCAACGTACCTTCCGATCGGGGTTGGGGGCTCAGGGATCGGGTGTGTCATCTTTATTTCCGAATTGAAATGTGAGATCTGGACTGGTTTGTTGACCCTCTCTAGAGACTCTAGAGGTGAAAGAGATCCATATAATTAAAAATTATAGTACGTATTTTTAACTTTCAAAATAAGTTCACACATAAATATTTATTTAGTGATTTTCTTTTTTAAACATTGCTGAAATAATATTTGATGAATATTTGATTAAAATAATTATGAGTATAACTAAAATGTGAAAAATGAACGTAAAACTAATTACTAGAAATTACTGCAATAATCTATTTTTAAGAGGTCAGTTTTTATTTTTTATCTTTACTTTTAAGTAGAAATATGTCATTATTTCTTTATTAAGTATCTGGAGTTAAAATGTCCATCCTTTTCACCTCAAATGGTCTCCTAGTTATATCTTTGGTATAACTAGCTGAAAAGATACTTTTATGAGCTTTTTAATAATTGTTAGTTTTTAATGACCGAAAATATCTTTAAAGAAAAAGGAAGTAATTGTTTGATAACAAGCTGACCGTTTGAGATTTAGCATCTCAAAAAGAATCTTTTATTTTTATAACAACTCTTAAAATCGATATGCCAAACATACAGTTAAAAACTTTTAAGAGATATTACCCCCGAAATAGGACGAAAACGGTTTGAAAATTCCAAAATAGGACTGCCATGTTTTTATTCCCAAAATAGGACTAATTACTGTCATGTTTTGGCAGCACCAGACTTCAAACATGTCAGTATTTTCTAAACATGGCAGTAATTAGTCCTATTTTGGGAATAAAAAACATGACAATACTATTTTAGAATTTTGAAACTGTTTTAGTCCTATTTCGGGAACTTTCCCAACTTTTAAAGACTTTTTAATAATACAAAAACTAGAAGACACGGACTTATGTCCGCCAAACATAGGCTAAATCTCTATGTAGTGTGTAGTGGAAGCATAGACATGTTTCTGCCATCACACCTTGGACGCAATTTTTTGGCATTAAAATATTACTGCATTAGGCTGTGACACAATATTTAAGGGGCAAAGAGTAGGACTAAGGAATAGTGTAGAAAAAATGTGAGAGAATGTGAAGAAGTAGGAAAAGAGAAGATAAAAAGTAGAAAAAGTAAAAGTAACATAGTATTTTTAAAGCAAAAATTTACCGAAAATGAAAAGTGTAGTAAACGTTAAAATACATCCCAAATAGAAAAATGTAACAAACTTTCAAACAGGGAAGGGTAATAATTTTGAGCTAATGACCGTGGTTGGTTGGACACTAAATCAATAAGAAGAATGACCCATCTATCCAAATTATTACTACATACAGTATAACTTAAAGGTCAGAATTACTTAATCTAGTCTTTTTGATATTCTTAAATTTCTGTTGTCCAAAATGCACTTTAAGAATTAATTTATTACTATATTTGTATAAAACTCTATTAGCACTCCATTTCTATAAATATTAAGCACAGACTTTTATGAAATGTCTATTTAGTTTTTTCTACATGAATTTTTTGTACAAAAAACTGTGGAGGCCTAAACTATGGTAATTATTGCTAATTCATTGGGTAAAGACATGCTAGAAGGGCAGAGGTTGATGTCTATATGATATGGAGGGAGGTTCTGCTCTTCAAACACTTCTTCTTCACAGTATGTACCTGCATCTAAACAGTTTTAGTTTTACTAACACACATCACACTAATTACACAGAGTATAAGTCAACGTTTAAAAAATAGTTATAAAAAAGTGGTTACAAAAAGCTACTACAGAATAATTTTTTCCTTGGTGGATAAGTATAAAATACTCCTTCTGTCTCAAATTGTTTTGCAAAATCAACATTTTTTTGATCAACTAATAATAAAAGTCAATCTTCTTTATCCATAATTAATTCAATTTTAAGAATTAAAATTTACATATTCAGAAACTACATTGAAATCTCTTCAAAGTTGCAAACTTCAAATTAAACGAATAAAATGAAAACAATCGCTTCATCAAAGTTTAATGACAAATGACATTCGCCACAATTATGAAGCACCCAATTACTCGGTATATATTAAAAGGATAAATAAATTGTATTTGTATATGAATTTGTTGGAGTGTTAACAGCCAGTTGGCTTGGCTTTCGTTGGGAAAAAGTACGCAGAGATGGGAAGACTACACATGAATCTTGTGGCAGGCAGGCAGGCAGCCCTCAAACGGGTAATGAATGAACTCTGCAGTTTTTCAAGGGAAAAAAATTAAAGAAAAATCTCATCTTTCTAGTACCCATCCAAAATAAGGACTTGGAATTTATTGGCGTGACGATTATGATCTTGTCCATTTCATTTGATTTCTAGTGACTATTTATTTCAGTCATCTCATTTGCACTCATGTATTTTAATTTAATTTCATTTGAACTAATTTCTTCTCGCTCTAATATTGTGAAATAAGAATAGTAAAAATTGTGTGGTTCAAGTTTGTGCAGAGGAGAGAGAAATGAGTAGAAACACAAAATAATTACTTTAATGGGAAAGTGACAAAGTTTCTTAGGACAACCAAAAAAGGAAAGATGACAAAGTCCAATGCGACGGAGGGAGTGTCAAAAATTTAAGAATTTTTGCACGGGAAAGTACACTTTCCGACAGAATAATCCAACGCCGGTGACATCTATTCCAGTATACTATCGCCTAGGTATGGTTGGACTCGGGTCGGGCCACCCGGCCCGTGGACCGGCCCGACCTGTGGACCGGCCCGACCCGCTACTGTGCGGGACCGGGACTGGCCCGGTTCTCGGGTCCGGGTCCGGGTCGGGCCTAGACCCGGTGGGTAGTGCGGGTCCGGGCTCGGGTCTCACTTTTGGCGAACCGGCCCGGCCGGGTCGGGCCCGGGTCCGGGCCAAATAGATTTTTTTTTTCATTTTTTGGGGTTCCAGCCGGGTTGGGGTTGATGGTTAGGAGGGGTTTGGGGGGTTTGGGAGGGTGGGGGTGAGGGGGTTGTTAGGAAAGCAAAAAAAAAACCAAACCGGAGGCCCGGCCCGACACGGCCCGACACGACCCGACCCGGCCCGACCCGGACTCGGTGGCTACCCGGGCCGGTCCCGGGTCTACCGTTCCTGAACCGCCGGCCTGCCCGGGCCTAGGCCCGACCCGGACCCGGCCCGGACCCAGCCCGGACCCGAGTCCACCCATACGCCTAGGGGTGGACTCGGGCCGGATCAACTGGCCCGTAACCGGCCCGACCCGGTACTATTTTGGCCCGGCCCGGCCCTGTACCTGGTACCCGAGCCAAATGCATTATACCCGAACCGCCAATTTTCGGGGCGAGCTCAGGGTCTCCAAAAAGTGAACCGGGCGGGCCGGACCAATTTTTTATTTTTTATTTTCACAATCTTTGGGAGGTAAATGAGTTGGGCTGGGTGTTTTGGAGGGGTTTGGGGTGGGGGGTGAGGGTAGGAAGTAATTAGAAAATCAAAAAAAACAATTCGAGTCAACCGACCCGACCCAGCCTAGGCCCGACCCATACCCAATAGCTACCCGGGCCGACTCCGGGCCTCAAGAAACCAAAAAAAAAAGCCCGGTCAGGCCCAGCTCGAGGCCCAACCCAGACCGGCCCGAATCCATGCCTACTATCGCCGGAAAGTGCACTTTTCAGGGAAAAAATCCTTAAATCCCAAATATTAATTAGTTACGTGACCAAATTTACAAGTGACTAAAGTTACGGGACTAATAATGAAAATGGTCGAAAGTTACGGGACGAAAATTTGCAACTTTCCACTCCGGAAATCAAAAGATCAAAACATCCCTAAAATCATACTATTCGACCAATTAATCGCAAAAAAGTCAGGGCTGGTGTCATAATCCACCTTCAAATTAATACTCTGACGAAGGAATTCAGTACCATCCTCTACAAATTATAGATTTCATCCCATCATCTGTGATAAGATACAAGAAAAGAAAAGTAATGTATTAGAAAGAACAGAGGGCTGGCCCCCAAAGAATTGGAGATTGCAGAAAGCTATCGATCATCTGCAGCTTCCATAAGTACAATTCATTGATCCTAGTAACCCTACCCAATACCCCTACCTTCTTGAGTTTCACAGAAGAAAAACCACAATGAAGCCGCTTTTTAGCGCAAAGTGGTGAAGATGAGGAGGTGTTTAAATTAATTACAAGAGCGTGTATGAGAAAAATTAGTGCTTAACTAGTGCTACTCTGATATGTATGGTATGTAAAGTATGTGATCATGCGCAGATAACCCCTGGGCTCAGTCCACCTCGAGGGGAAGATTCAGATCTGGAAGTGCAAAACTGATCTCCAAACCCCTCACCAGCTCTTCTTGCACTGCAGCTGGAAAGTTATGGGACGCAAATGTTTGTGGCAATTCAGCATTGCATGGCCTATTTTGTTGGACAGATGACATCGGGGTTACGTCTCTTCCGGGCTGACATTGCAAATCAAGCTGTACATGTTATAAATGACCCAACAAATAAGAACAATCAAACATCATTAACACACCACAGCAAAAAGAAACAGGGATAAACATTGGATTTTATTAGATTCAGCAAAAAATTACACCAGCCGGACTCATCGAAAAAGTTTATATACTAATCCTATAATGAGTTTATCGTATGTTATAATGTTATTTGATTTTTTAACAAAATAACTTCTCATGGATCCCTTTCAAGTTAAGGGTACTTTTTCTGAACTATGGGATTGTCTCCTAATAACAGTCTTACATGACCGGTCACCTGCTAAGTAGAATTCTCTCGAGAACAACCATTCACTAAGAAAATCAAACTACACTCTCATAGCTATTATACAAAATGATAAATTTAATAATTTTGTTAAAGCAAAGGAGCCTGCTCAAAATCTATACATAGCGCGAACTCATAGGCCTCAAAAATCTGTTTTTTTAATCAGACTAAGACCTTTGCCCCTCTTTCTCTAGGACCGGACAGAATGACAGATGAAAGACCATTTTCAATACAATTTTTAAAGTAATTTAGGAAAAAAACAATTTGCTCATACATGTGCTTCCAAACACTACTTTTGTCGTTAAGAACGGGAATTAAAGAATGAACTGAAAGTCTGAAACTCATTTTTACCTTCATTCTCTGCAGGTTTTCATTTGTAGCCTTTTGTTTCTCCAAATTGAGACGTAAAATTGCCAATTCCTGCATAAAGGAGGGGTGCAGTGATGAATAAGATAACTTGTAAATTTTGCATTTTCTTTTGTTCTTAAAAGTATTTACACATAAGATCAAGATATGTACCTTCTTCAGCAGCCTTCTTTCCCTTAGTAGGACAATCTCATCTTCTTTGAGCTCGGCCATTGTCTAGTTATTATCCATTACGATCATAAGAGAACAAAGAAAAATGACTTTGAGACTTCTACGAGATGTTATAAAAAATACATCGAAAGAAAGGAATTTAGGGACTAAAGATGTTTAAAGTGCAATAAACTGTTTAAGAATTGTTTTTCCCTAAGAACAATGTTGTTTTGTTCATGAATCACGAATCTTTTAAACAAAACTAAAAAATATATGGATGAGTTACTCTGTACCTTTTTCTTTCTTGACCTCTTGGTTTTGCTTTTTTCATTAGTCTGAGTTAGCTGCGACAAAGATTAAGATGTAGATCAACATACAATCACACAAATGCATGAGGATTCAAATTGGCATTATAAATGAAAGAAATGAGCTACTGAACAATGAAAACTTCAGTACCATCCACACAAACACAAGGTACACCATAATCAAATCAAGGGGCGGGTTTGGAAATTTGAGTAAGGGTCAGCCAAAAGGGGATTATAGCTAAAGAGTGATTATCGCAATAGCGGGTTTGGCTAAATGGGAAATATGAAAAAAAGTTTACACTGAAATAATTAAGAAATAGTAGGTTGTCCGGCTTCAGTCCACTTTGATAACTATGAAGATTCACCGCTAAGTAAAGCGTATGTGACAAAATGTAGTTATGTGATCACAATGACTCTGTTTGGCACACGACCACATGGGCAAGGTTGCACGATCGGTAAAACTGGGGTGTGATGGATTGGACTAGATGGGCTCTATTCCATGCTTGCTTGTAACACATTTGACTCAACTACTAGATGCCTAGATGTGACGAATGACAATGTTGCCACCAATTTAGGAAGTCCCATGAGTCTACATGATAACTAGGATTTGTGTGCCCAATCATATCCAGTTTCACAAATATAAGATTCACACTGCTTTGATAGTTGACACACCCGATCCTCAACCTCAGTTTCGAAACAAGTCCTTAAAGAATCCGTTCTTACTTAGAGTCCGCAACTTATTCTTTCAATTCGTACAGCTGTAGTATAGTGACGTCATACACAATTCATCAAATTTAGACTGACATAATCGGTCAATTTCATATGCATCATTCACTAAATATAACAGCTCCACCAACTAGGATAGGAAGAAAATCTTGATCCCATCATTACAATTGAAATAGCCTTAGGTCACAAGTAGCAACAAACCATACAACATAACATAGGAGATGACGACCAGAAAGAAAGAAAACAGGAAGAAAAAAAACTTTTCAACAAGTTGAAAGCTTTCTGTATTTTTCCCTCATTAAGAACATAAGATAATGTTGGGTGTGTTTCGGAAAATAAAGATAATTAATTAAAATAAATTAATTAAATAAAATGACTAGAGAAAAACAAGAAAGAAGATGAAGCAGAATTAGTCAAAGCTCGTGCTACGCACGATTTCCTTAAAACGTATTTGTTGCCTCCCACGGTGCTAGGGGAGTTGCAACAATCGTTTCCCAGGATACGATTACTACGAACTAATGTTTGAGCACACAAACAAGAGTTCCAGCGAACGAGAACCAAGTATGAACACAGAAGGAATTTTGCAGAGTAGCTGTAGGTGTTTTTAGCTCAAAAAATTTGTGAGGAATGTATTGTGCGTTGTTAAACCGTGTTTTTGTTGCAAAGCACCTGTCAGCCTTTTATAGGAGGATTTATTGTGTGTTAAATGAGGTGTTAATGGACCTGAACGTTGGACATCAATGATCAGTCCGTTGGACATTGAATCATCCATAAACTGTCCATTTAACGCTGCATTAAAAGACAAGAACGTTGGGCATTTAATGACTGTAACGGCTTGGAGCAGTTCTGGTGCGCGATCAGAATACCCCCATCAGAGTTGGAGCAGTTCTGGTGCGCGATCAGAATACCCCCATTAGAGTTGGAGCAGTTCTGATGCGCGATCAGAATACCTCCATCAGAGTTGGAGCAACTCTGATGCTACCAGAATACCTCCACCAGAGTTGGAGCCACCAGAGTTGGAGCATCTCTGGTCCGAAGTCATCAGAGTTCGAGCAACTCTGGTACTGGGAAAAATAAAACGTTACGGGATGAAACAAAAATTAGACCGTACACGAGTCGTGTCCGCAGGTCGCCCGCGCACACGAGTCGTGTTTTTTCTTCTCTGTTTCGGGATTTGATCGGCACCCCCTGCGCGTAAGAGAGAACATTTACCCTTAGGAATCTTAACTCCTTAAAAGAGGTTCCCTTTATAAGGGGGTGAAAATCCCTTGAGTTTTTCGGTGTGGGATAAAACACACTAAAACTCATCATTTTCCCAATTTTTCCATTTCAACGAGTGAACTTCGAGAATCAATTTCTCATTCACCCGTTACCCGTTTTGAGTGTACCATATATCGAATTGTAGCCCTTAACAAGGACAATCCGAAACCACTTTGACCCGACCCAAATCGGAAGTGGACCCCACTCAAATAATTGCCCCAAAATGACCATTTAATGCAATTTTTAACACATTTTTCCAACAGATAACAGTAGCTGCCACAATAAACGTATACATACAGTATGTTGCGTTGTGGTCTTATTCCAGCATTTTCAAACTTCAATGACCAAGTGAGATTTTTTACACGCATTAACCCACCAATAGTAACAGTAGAAGATTCATAATAACTCCACTCCGAATTTTTGCTACCGAATATTGGAGAAACCGTGGGCATGGCATAGTGATTGAAATGATGAACTCATGAAAGTGAGGTGAGGATTGGAAGAGCGTCAGAGAGAGAGAGTTAGGGTCTAGGGACAGGTTAAGAAAATCATACTCCCTCCGTCCCTATTTTATCTCCCATTTCGGCTGGGTACACTTATTAAGATAGTGGTTTTGTGTGGTGGAGAGTTGTGAAGAGAAGAGAGAAATGTGTAAGAATGTGTAAGAATGATTGTGAACCACAAATTCTTTGCCAAAAAGGGAAGGAGGAGATAATTTTGGGACGGACGAAAAAGGAAAGTTTGAAGATAATTCAGGGACGGAGGGAGTATGAGATACTCGTCTTCTAGCCGATTTCAAGGTTACAGGGTACTCATTAGTTAATCTTTCGCATAGGATCAAATTGGACATTATGATTGCAGGAGAATCTCATATTGGACAATAATGTTTCAAATGGACCAAATTGGACACTATGGTTACTTGTATGTCTCATATCGGACACTAAAGTTTCAAATTGATCAAATTTTACGTTTTTCTGATCATTTTCGAAAACACATCAAAGATTTTCACCTTGAAAGATATAAGTATTCCTTTTTCTCTTGGTTTTATATACCTAAAAAATAAAATTAACTTAATTTGTGTATTTAGATTTAGAGTATATAATTAGATGCTCCAATTAAGAAAATCTATTATAATGTAATCGAATTCTTTAATATTTTTAAATCAATTTAACAAATTGATATTTTCTAAAGTTCCATAAAAATCATATGAATGAAAAGTCCTAAATATATATTTAAATTGTTAAATATAAAAAGTTATTAATTAAAATCAAATTATATATTCTAAAACTTCAGATTAAATATTCCAAAATTATATACGTAATTAAATTGGTTTACTTTCACAAAAAAGGAAAGGAAATGTAAGACTAATGATTTTTATTAAAGGAAGATGAAAATCATAAGCGATTGTCCAAAAACTATGAATTATGAAATTTCAATGTCCAATATGAGATACATACATATGTAATCATAGTGTCCAGTTTGATCTATTTAAAACTTTAGTATCCAATATGAAATTCTTATGAAACCATATATCCAATTTGAGCATTATCCGTTAATCTTTTCCTGTTTCACACCACTAAGCCCATGGCAGATCCATAAATAAAGTTAAATACGACATACTCCGTATATTTTTAAACAGTACTGCGAAATAATGTCAAAAATAGGGTAAAGTTCATTAAAAATTCAGCTAACATTGCTTAAATTAATACGGAGTATATTGATACTCTTGATAAAAATTCATTGGGAAATCAGGGCATGTGACACCCTGGCCCAGACTTAATTCTATTTTTAATTTCAACAAAAAAAATCTCCCTTTTAATTCCAATATTATTAGATCATTCTACGTCCAAAAGGTTGAATGTCCAACCCCAAGGCCCTCACCCCGACCCAGCAGGATGGTGGGAAGGTTAATCACCGTGACTCAGTTAGCAAAACGGCAGTAGGTCTTTACCCGTGCGAACCAGATGTCAGCCTTATTTCAGGTTCTGAAAACCCCCTTTTAACCGCTGTGGGATTCGAACCTTGGTCTACGTTCAATTTTTCCCACCGCTCGACCAACTGAGCTACCCATGCAGGTAGTTTTATTTTTTCTACTTTGTGACTTCATATGCTTTTTTCCCATTTTTGGCTGTTTTGGTCTTTTTTGGCCGCTTAGTGAAAATCAACCAGAAATTAACCACCTAACAAAAATCTATGAACAAAAAACGAGAAGAAGAAAAATGGAAACAGGGAACCCAAAGGCATGAAAATTGTGGGAATGTTCTCATTTTCAATGATATGGTATAGGGTAGTTGCAATTTGCATAAGTACCCGCACGGGTAGTTCAGTTGGTTCAGTGGTGGGAAATTTGGATCAAGTGACCAAGTGAGAAATTTAGTAAAAGAAAGTTTGAGATCGGCCACTTTAGTATCCTCTGATGTGCACGGGTGTATGGGCCTACTGTCATTCTGCTTACTGAGTCACCGTGACTAACCTCCCCACCATTTTGTCGGGTCGGAGTGGGAGATTCCACCTTTTTTTGGGATCAATGGCCCCTACCTCCATGGCTCCACCCATGCTAGTGACCCGGTTTTGCCCGAAAATTATTACATACTACCTCTGTCCCTTAAAACTTTGCCAAAGTTGACAGACACATAGAATAATAAAGTAAAATAAGAGAAACCACAAATAATTGATTAAAAGGGAAAGTGACAATGTTTTTTGGAACGTCCCAAAAAGGAAAGATGACAAAGTTTTAAAGAAGGGAGGGAGTATCCAATTTCGAGTAGGAGCGGGAATTGGAGCTTTGATCAAGTCATGTTCATGTTGACCCATGTCTTAAAAAACGTCACAATAATTCGGTGTTATATTGCAGAAAATATTATGAAATGCTTCCTTGACTCGGATCGTTCATCCATCTATATTTTGATTGCCCCTACTGAATAATTTCTATAATGTGTGAGAATAATGGAATGGCTTACCCAATTGGGAGCCCTAGATGTCAAATATATAATGAATAGAGTTCTGAGTACATTAGGAAACATAAGAAATATGGAAACCTAATTAATGAATAT